GTCCCATGGGGACTGCCCCCCCCCCGGCGCCGCTCGGCACCTCCCTGGAGGCAGCGTTCGGTCGCCTGGGGCCTCCCGGATCTGCGGACTTTGGCCTCGGTGAAACGGTGGACAACTTGTGCTCAGCAAACAGCTCCTTCCCTGCCCTCCCACTCGAGATCCTAGCTGCGGTAGCACTCCGCAGCTATATATTCCAGCTGCCTTTGTTCTAGTACTGTTTTTCTTCTGTTACTAGCAACTTTTTAATTAAAAACTTTCAGTCGTCAGGGTAATACCCAGCAGGTAGACTGACGGGCCGAGGGTGAAGAGAAGCGCGCAATCGGTGTGCGGGTGTTCGCTTTGGTGGAGGATCACTGGATTTCAGTCTAAAACTTAGGTCAGAATTTAAATCGGTATGAATTGCAGCATCACCAGGACACAGGCATAGGGAAGGCGCAAGCTTCCTGGAGGTCGTGGAGAATAAAAAAAGTTTCCTTAAGAAAAATTAATGAATTTTTTTCTTTAATTTTGGCACCAACTTGTACAGTTTCGATGTAATTTGAGTGATGTAATTGAAATTACCTCCTCCCCTAAGCTGTCACAGAGCAGCTTTGCAGGGCAGCGTTGACGCCGACCGTTTACAGAGCTGCAAACGGCAATTCGCTCTATCCCGTGTTTGAAATGCAGCAGGTCGAGAACGTTTTCCTCGCCCGTCCCGGCTGACTGCGGGGCCGAGTTAGCAGCTTTAGCGGGGACAAGGCGCCCCGCAACACGCGTGAAGGTAAAGCCTCTACTCCAGGTTAATGAAGTAAAAGCAAAGCTCGTTTGAGACAAGGTAGAACATAAAAGGAAAGATCAAACCCACAAGCTAGCCTAGGCAGCGCCCCGTGGCTACCTCGCTTAACAATAGCCTTGGCTGGGAAAACGGGAAAGTTTGGGTTACAAAGCCTTTGTTTTACCCAACGAGTTGCCCGGACGGGCCGCTGAGCCGGGGGTCCTGAGCCCAGCCCATCGGTTCCCGTGGAGGTTGCTTGTACGAGGGGACGTACCATCCGCGCAGCCACGGTGGGCGTTAGAGGCTGCCCCGGAAGAAGACCCCGTCCCTGGCAGGTGCCAGGGTGGAAGGCCACGTCTGGCACTGGAGAGCACGAAGGTGAACAGGGGAAACCCGTGTTTTTCTGTATTTAATCAGCTTCAAATAATTTTCAGTTTGATTTTGGTTGCTTTTCTTTAAAAAGACCACCGGTTGGCACTTGAAGAGCTGCTGCTTTCCAGCCGTTACCTGGATTTGATCGCTTAGTCTCTGCCTAGAACACGGTAAGAACATTTCAGCGTCTCGGGCTGACCGTCAGCGGCTGTGTCTGCGTTAGCAAATAACTCGGCGCAAAAGCGGTGGATTTCACATTGGAGCAGGTGGTGCAAACCCCCCAGTAACCTGGGGGTTACTCCAGAAGGATTTGGTCTGGCCCCCGGTGGAATGTCCCCACCACGCCCGTAATTCGCGGCTGTCTGAGGATTTTTGGATATTTTTGGGTTTTTTGGATTGTGACCCACCTTCTGTTTCCCCTGGGGGTTGGACTTCCCAGTTGCCTGCGGTGAGTCACAGCCTGCCGCCGCAGGCAGGGCTGCCCTCGTACACCAGCGCGCCGTCCACGAGCGCTTCCTCAGCCTCGTAGCTGCTGTTCTCTAACTCCGTGGCCACGGGGCACAGCTCCTGGTTGCACCACCTGAACAGGGAACGCAAACAGTTTGTCCGAGCCCCGTGAGGCAGACAGCGCTGGTTTCGGCTGGAGGTCTTGCCCGGTTTGGGTCCCTCTCCTCACTGCTAGAAGGGAGATTCCCTGTGGCAGGGAAGAGCCGTGCTGTTGACAGCGACCAACCCGGAACGCTGTTTGTCTCCATCTACGATGATAGGAAGTTTGGGCCTCGCCACGGCAGGGGGTCAGGCCGCTCGGAGAGGCAGAGCAAAGCCTGCTGCATTGCACAAGAAATGGTCTAAAACGGTTAGTGCTAGGGGAGGTTTTTGCTTACCTTCGAGCAGCGGAGATGTCTGTGGAGGAAGCATCAGGCCGAGCTGCGTGTTCGATTAGAAGAGCTCCTGTGGAAGAGCAGGAGACATCAGTGTTCCTGGGCTCCAGCCAGAACAGCAAGGGCTGGTGAAAAAGTGGGTGGCGGTTACATCTCAACAGCACTTGCCAGGCTGAGCTGCCTCAGTCTGAAAGAAGGTGGGGACCGAGCTTTCTTTAAACTCCACCCTTTACCCAGAGGTGTGAAACCGGGCCATTCTGGGGCTGATTCCTAGCCCTTTCCTGGTCCGAAATCCATCGTTTCTGTCTTTCCCGCTACCTGCATAGATCCTCGCTAGGGTGTAGGAGAAGTCTCTTGCTGCTAGCTCCATGGTCACGGCCCCTTTGGAACCAGCTGCTTGCGTGAACCGCGCAAGACTGCTGATGGCATCCCGCGTTTGCTTCACGGCGGGTTCCAGTTTCGCCGTGCTCGAAGCCAGCTCCAGTTTTTGCTGCAAAGAAAACAATCACAGGAAAAATTGCAGCCTATTTACCTTCTGCAAGGAAGCACACCCAGCAGCGGCTAACAAAAAGCTTGAATCAAGGTGGCTGTAACTCGCGCTGCCGTAGGTGGAGTGGCCCGAGCACCGCGCGGCAGCAGGAAAGGGGACGTTGCCAAAAGGAAACTCACAGCCTTGCCCCGAGGACGGAGAATTCCTCAGAGCCAGACCCAGCGTGTTGCTGTTTCCGCGCTGGCTTTCCAGCTGCACGTGGGGACCAGATCACATCCCCAACCCTCTCTAATTACCTGTATCAGGTTCTAATTCTCCCGGGTATTTTCGTTTCCACGAAGATGCTAGAGTGGTGTCCAGGCAGGAAAATTCAGATTTAAAGCAGCTTTTCTCTGCAAGTCATG